GTGGGCCTCTGGGTTATTTTCAGTGATTCTCAGAGAAGCCAAGCAGAACGCTAACTTCACTGCAACTGATTGATGAGCTAATCTCATCGCACGTATGAAAAATCACTACAACTCTGCAGACAAACTATTGGCCAAACAGGAATATTTTTCTATTTATTATAAAAGACCCACTAAGGACTAAAACTGCCATCCCATTACTGAATGAATGTTGCTGTTTACATGTAAAGTGTCACATTCAGTCATTGAATCTGTGGGTTCTTTTCACTTCATGTCAGTTTTTAATCCCCCGTTGCTAGGTGCCCTTCCCTGAGCTGCATGGGGAGTTCACGGAGTACGTAGGGAGAGCAGAGGACGCCATCATCGCAATATCCAACTATCGCCTTCACATCAAGTTCAAAGAGTCCATCGTCAACGTAAGTGTGTTAGAAAAAGTTTCTAACGAGCTTCAAATCTGATTCCAGGATATGTTTTCCCCCGACTGATGTCATTGTGTCTGTGGTGTAAATGGACAGAGCTGGCCTGTGGCGCCACTCACACCTGAACTCCCCTTTCTCTCTGGGCCTGCCGTTGCTATGGTTACAGCTGCTCCAGAGGGGATGCACAACAGTCAGGCCCTCTGTTTGGCTCCCTCAGCCTCTTTCCACCGTATAAACAGACAGGCTGGATGTTATCATTATTTACACCAACAAACATGTTTCAATCATATTAAGATAAAAAAGCATTTTGAGTTTTTTTAATTACAACATTTGGGCTGCTTCTGGAAAAAAATATTTCTTCTTGTTTATATGACGTTAATCCAAATTGTGTGCTGCCAGATAAAATATTTACAAAGTCTAACCGGATTCCTGGAGGAAACTGGTGCTTCGTGGAGGTGAGCCGACATGCAGAGGCTGATACTGGTTTTAGACCATTTCCATTCCTTCTGATTCCGAGTCGGTGTTTTAAACTGGAGGGATTGGTACTTTATGATTATTAACTCTAAACAGCAGAATGTGTTTATTATCTGGGCAGTCTAGACCAGGCGTCTGCAACCCAAACTACTCAAAGAGCCATATTGGACCAAAAAAATAAATCTGTCTGGAGTCACAAATATGTAAAAGTCTTCTATGAGCCTCGTATGGCAACACGGGCTCTAAGTGTATTATCCCACTGTAGAAAAGGACTATGTGGGCTTAAATATATAATAAGCATTCATGATTAAATGTTTATCATGGAGCAAATGTCACATAGCAGCATGAGGTGATGGAGGAGCAGTGAACGCTCTCACCGCGCGCTGCTTCACTGCACGGTTTAGGTTTTGTTGCATTGATGAAATGATAGAAACACGATAAAGGAATCTTTTCTATGATGGACGTGTTTCTGTTGGGAGGAGCTGATTGATTCACAAGGAACCAAGGAGGAACTGATCCATCAGAGCAGAGCTCTCTGACCCTGAAATCCCACATCCTCCGTCACCAACGTTCCTTGGTCTGATTTATATTTTGAGGATTATGGGGGGAAAAAATGGAAGAAATTCACATCCCTGCATCAGAGCGCTACCTGTTTGATCTGTGGATGTTTTTTCTAGGGATGCACGATATAATCGGCCCCCTATCGGTATCGGCCTTAAACTGAATATCGGACATCGGCCACCCCACCGATATTTAACCCGATATTTGATCAGCTTCTTAGTTTCTAAAGTCTTAAAAAAAAAAAAAAAAAA